TTGAATGTCAAACAGTTACTTGATTGTGCTTGAGTAAGTTTATTAGTAGAATGGAGAGAAGATGAGAAACACTATAGCGAATATAGTTCTGATACAGAAAACAATACAGAAACACGCCTATATATATATATAAAATACATTGGAACATTCTGATAGCGTCATCGTATATTGTGATGTCATCGTACATTCTGATGACGATATATGACGCATCGGAAAGAATGTGATACATCATGCGCGTACATCAAAAATGAAAAAGAAAACGAGTAATAGTTTAGGATGTTCCATAGTTGATTATAACACTCCTCCACTCCATTTTTCCTCTCCATCCCTCCGCTGTCGAAACACCCCCGCTGAGTTATCGAGAAAACATTTCACTTCGGACTTCTCTGATGAGACTCACTGTAGCGGTCCAACGATCGGATTACTAAGTATCCCAGAGATAAAAGTTTTATATTGAAAAGTAGCCTTTGACCAAGAGCAGTGCGAAGATATAAAAGCAAGATGCAAGTACCACAGAAATCGGAGAACATAAAAATCCGAAAATTTTTCAATCATTTTTTGAAAACTGGGCGGGAACTCTCTCCCCCCCCCTCCTTCGGTCTTGCCGACCCCGTCTTGACCTTCCCTGGATCCAAGGGTGTGCCATGCAAATTTTGGCTGCTTTAGCTCTTACAGGGACTGAATGCATAGAGAACAAAGAAACAAACATACAAACAAACTTTCTTCTTTATATATATAGATTAAAAGTGGAAGAAACAGATGGCATTCCCAGGTCTTTCGTAAAAACGCCCTCTCATAAGGCTTACTCATTGCGATTCGTAATATTTATCTGAAACAGAAAGATATAAAAATAATAAACGTCAGTTACAAATAATGGATTAAGAGTTACTGACGATATATCATAATTTATTTTCACGGATAGGATGTTTACTCAATTTCAGATTACATAATGCAGGGACGACACGTGCAATTTTAGAAATCTTACCCAAATCGTTATAAGGATCTCCGTGAAGACTTCCTAAAATACCATAATTTTTAATACGTTGGTTGATGTTTTTAATAGCTGCTCTTGAACTGGAAATAGATCGACTGAAATCTTTGTCTTCGGCTGTTAATTCACGACCACGAGGTTGCTTTCTTGGCGTGATAACATATTGTTCACCTATATATGCTTTATCGGCAATAATTTGTACATTTTCTTCTGTATGTTCCAATAATCCTGATTCTCATAAAATAGTAAAGTCATGTATAAACTTGTTTATAAATACCTTTATCAAGATCTTTACGTTTTGAATATAACTGCTGTCTATCTGAATAACGTATAAAGACCACAATTATAGATGAATGTTGTTTACCACGTGATCCTAAACGCTGAGTTGCATAAAAATCTTTAATATCCAAATTAACACCCACAGATTTAGCCAAATCTAATACTATTTGTGATGTATCTTCTCCCTGTGTAAATGGAATACCGTGTATTATTAAATCACGCCGCTTTGAATATTGATCTAAATCGTCTAATTTCAAATGAAATTTAACTGCACGATCATTTAGTTGCTTTAATTCTGCCTCTAATTGTTTAATACGGTTCTCGTATTGTTTCAGTTGATTTTCTATGATATCTGCAATTGCGTCAGTACATGATTTTGATGTTATTATCATTTTTGTCATTTCATTGATAAGATTAGAAGATAATAAAGACTGCTGTAACTGTAAACCACTTACATCCGATGCAACAGTTGTACTTGAAGTCGTATCAAATTGCGGTGACGAAGACATTTTTGATTGTTTATTGTCTTGATTTTCAGGTGATGTAAAATTACGTTTTTTACCACTCATTAAATCTATCTCAATATCGAAAACAGTCGTATTTTATTCTGTGTCTGTGTGTCTTTCCTATCCTCTAAAGAGGCGTTGACCAAGGAAAAGAGAGAAAAGAAAAAAGAAAAGAGAAATTTATTCCAATAGGAAAATGACAGAAAGCTAAAAAACTAAGAACCCAGACGCCTAGAGATGTGTGAAATATTTTTCCGTGGGAAAATTTTAGATATATTTCCCAATGGGAAAATGCAAGAAACCTAAAAACCTAGACACATACAGACGTGTGAAACATTTTCCCGTGGGAAAATGCGTGAAACAGATCTATAGTTCATGTGCAAGGAAAAAGCGGCATTTTTCTTTTTCCCGGAAAGGGAAATTCTCCATGACATCACACTCTACTCACTTAACAAGAGAGTGTATTTAGTATATATACAACACATAAAATATTATTATCAAACCATCTACTACAATATCACATATTTCACCGAAAAATAACTATTATTTCATCTTCAAAATGAAATGGCTATGCATTTTCATGATTCTAATGGCTGGTGTTTCAATTGCAATGAGTTTGATGGCTGATACTCCACATTATCCATGGCGTAATTGTCAATGTCAACGAGGCGGAGAACGCAATGGTCATTGTCATTGTCCAAATAATGCCCGAATGGCTAATACCTATTGTCGACATGGAGGAAATCATTGGATTTGTTTCCCATTCGGTCGTCGACGACGCTCAGTTTCTTCTGAAGAAAACCACGATCATGCTTATGAATGAATACTTTACTAACAATATCCTTCGTTCGTTGTATTTTTTTTCAAAAAATTGTATTTAATCAACATGTGCGCAAAACTTTTTCATGCAACACAGGAATTCCGTAAAATTTGTATAACTTAGGCTATGGTGTTTCGATAAAATTCTTCACTTTACCGGGTTTTTTATTGTCGTAGAGATATACTATTATCTGTTGAAAATATATTTTCCAATGGGAAAAAGAAAGAAAGCTAATGAACCCCAAATTTTTCACCTTACAAGGTTTTTATTGTCGTGGAGGTATACTATTATCTGTTGCTGTCTAGCGACAGTGATTTCGAACATTTGAGTATTTTTTACGATTGTAACACACGTACGGCACAACTAAAGGTCTCACCAGTACTGATTTATAGTAAATGCGAAAAGTTAACTTCCGTCAAAAGGCACGAAAATCAGAGTGCATGGATTTTGATAAAGAAAAGGACGGGGAACGGTTTCTGCTAGAAAATGGCCCAGTATGATTTTGCGTGAACATGATCGAAAATGCTTCTCTTTTCACTTCCCACGTTCAAAAGTCCTTCTGATTAGCTATGCACCAGTACCGGTACCGGTATCAGTAAAAGTGCTCCACAAAAGTTTAAGCCTTTTTCTGTTTTTGCAATAACTCAATTTCCTTGATAGATACAGACTCCGTTCTTTCGCCTGAGAAAATGGTTAAGTTCCGGCTTAGTTTGACTGAGCTAAAGCAAAAACGCGGTGTTTTACGCAATTGGAAAATCTTACTTCCTGAGTATTTCACGTTTCCTAACCAAGAGAATTGCGCGAAAAAATTTCAAAACCACATCATTCGATAGAAAAGTTTACGGGCTATCCGTTGTTGATCAAACTTTCAGCTTTTCAGCATGTCTTTATCGCCAAAAACTTCTTTTAGTTAGAGCTGGCCCAAAAAATGGAAAAACCTCTATTTCTCCGCTCTAACTAAAACAAGATTTTGACGGTGCACACTTCAAAAAACAAAATAAAAGTTTCTTTAATCACAATTCTCTTTTAATCAACATAACGCTGAAGAAAAACACATTTTAACATGGAATAATCAGTGTAACTCAAACTAACTTAAGAACTCACATCACTCACAGAACCGTGATCATCATCACAGAACAGTGATTATATACGGTTTCAGCGTAAAAGTAAAAGCAAAAGTGTTGCGAAATTCCGAAAAACGTCTTTTCAAACGAATAGAGAAAGAAAAATGCGTTGGTTTTGTAACATTTAACGCCATTAACACATTAACATATTTTACATTTTTGGTCTTCAGTCTTCAATTCACTGCGTAAACTAGGGATGCAACGGTAACGGTTCACAAGCGGTTAACCGTTACCGGTCTAACCGGTTACTGTTATCGGTCCAACCGGTTCTGCCCAGCTACCGTTACCGATCCAACCGGTTCTGACCTTTTACCATTACCGGTCCAACCGGTTCTGTGAGTGATGTGAGTTCTTAAGTTAGTTTGAGTTACACTGATTGTTCCACTGAAAACGTGTTTTTCTTCAGCGTTATGTTGATTAAAAGAGAATTATGATTAAAGAAACATTTATTTTGCAAAATTCTGTATGTCGGTTAACCGTGATTAATTGACGATCCTTTTGCCGATCAAGCGATATGAGTACAAATTCTCATGAATGTGTGTTCATGTGCTCCGTGCAGTAAAACTGTCGGTTAGTCTAAGTCCATTCCGGTGAAATTTTGGCCCGGAGCAGTACCTGTCTGCTTGGCAGGACTCTTAGATGCAGTCCGAAAGATATTTAGACTAAGTCGAAGTTCACGCTTCAAGAAATCATGGAAAAAAGTCTGAAGTTTTTCGATAAATCATGTTGTCCTTATATACACAGTGAGCACAAAACAAAACAGTGATTATATCGAATAATTTTTAATTTTATCAAACACAAATGGTAAAAAATTAAAAACACAATTATTCGATATAATTGTTGTTATATAATATACACAGTCATCAAGAGCATTATAAATTTTAATACAATTGAAACCACAGTGGAATTGTCCATTATTATCGTTTTCGTTGATTACACTTTCATGCGTAGCGCATAACCATATAATATGAATTTCGCTACTGTTTGAATTAGCTGTAGTGTCATCGACTATGTAAGAAATACAATCAGAGATGTTCACATTCGAAAGTGTATTAGTCAACAATTTCAGAAATGCATCCAAATCGAAATCATTACCGTGTAAAGTACAGGTTAAGTGTATGACAAAATCAAGAAAACAGAGATGTTTTTTTACGATCATTGACACTTGTTGTATTTACCGCGGTTCTTCAGATAACCGCCGACTGACCGCGCTTTGCTATAAATCGTCAATCGTCGTTAACCGCCGGTATTTTTGATACCGCGGTTTGAACCGCCAATTTTACTGGGTTATTTCTGAGAAGCGATGATTAGCCATTTCTTTTCCAATCACCGTTTTGTTTTGTGCTCACTATACATCATCAATATCAGACAGATGAGCACAAATTCTTGAAGATTTTTCATTTTTCGAATATGTTCACTACTCAGTTAATAGTTGAAATAAGTGTATCATGTTTAAAGCTGATGTTATCATAATAATAGGTATTGTATGTTGGTTCATATTTTGAAAAATAGTGTTGAACGATAAGAGACAAAGTTTTTCTAAAAATTCGCTACCCGCTTAACGAGAAAATTTTGCCATCTTTATACAACGATTTGGCTTCGAAAGACGAATCGAATGATGTATGATAAGTAAAAATTCTTTAAGGTTTTCATGAAGTTATTGCTATTACAAGATGACGGGACACTTTTGCTAAAAATACATGTCGGGACATTTTCGCAGGAAAATACAGTTTTCTCAGAAGGGATCACAGATATCAAGTTTAAGTCTTCTCACTTTGATTAACAAATGTATTTTTCTCTTTTTCGCAAATAATATCTGTTTCTCTCTCACTATCACTCGTTTTGTGTGTTGAGTCATGTTCGTTTTAAGTTTACATCGCGTCAAACATTTTTATTATTTTGAAAATGAAAATCACAATTTTCGAAATATCCACTTCCTAAAATATTTTATTTATTTTCTAAAAAGTTTTTAATTTAATAAATATGGGTTTACACGATCTACTTACCGCTGATTGTTCTCTATGTTAGTTAGTTTTTTCCTACAAGAAGGAAAAGAAAAATGTAATTTTTTCTGTATAGAATTTACTTTCCATTGACAACATAAAAATTTGCCAGTTAACAGGATGATATGCTTCTTCAACTATAAGACAAAAACATTGTATTCGGAGGAAGGGGGCCCTTAATACATTTACTAGGTATTCAGTCGTGTTTTTGAAATGAAGACATTTTTTTCTAGTGCTTCAACAATAAAAAGTCTTCGTGTGTATAAAAGAAGCAAAAAACTAAGTAGAACTCGTAAGTTCTATTTCAATCTACTGCTGGTGACTAAAAGAAAAATTTCAGGACGACCATAGATTAGAGACATATTCTAAAATACTGCTACTAGATAGATTGTAGGGATGAAGTTTGAAAGATAATGAACGTAATATTTGAATGAGATATATCAAGTATGTTAATAGGAAAAAGCACATTGAGTACTCTGCGATAACAGGATTCAGTTGTTCAATTGCAGCGGCTATTCGTCATCTGTTTAATACACGCAAACCTTTGCCAGTACTACAATATGTCTGTGTGGTTAAGTTGTCTGGACGTACCCCCAAGGTACTGTGTTCGAGCCTCGGCGCCATCAGACATGGAATGACCCTCGGCAAGTCATTAACGGTTGTTTGCCTCGGATCACCCGTCCGATAGCATGCTGACTACGTCGTGACATACATCAGCCCTCGTAGCTAGTATGTGGTTAGTCAGTGTGTAAAGAATTCTGAGTCAGGCTAACCTTCTGTCCAGAGCTACAGCTGATATTACTTGTAGGAAAGATATCGGGCTTACAAAACTGTCTCCGGGCAGCACCCTATGCCGCAAGGTAGCCGAAAGGCGGGGTATTTTTTCTTCTTCCAATTTGGAACAATTATAATGAACAATTTCAGTAGCGTTACTCAAACAAAAGCCATGAAACTTTATTCTAGCTGTAGATGATTTTCGACCGCTTGGTTCTTTATTAGGAGAGTAAACAAACTAATCACGCAGTTCACAAAATGAACAACAAATATCTGAATTCATCTTTTGTTCGACAAATACGATTATCACAATAAAAAGGACTACCTTTTTTGTTTTTTAATTTCTTCTTGAAACAGAAACAGCTAAGGAGATTTTGACACAAAAATTGAAAAGGATCGTCAGTCTCCAAGTTTTCGATTGCATTGCAAATCAAAACGTTCTCAAGCTCACGGCATTCGTCCTTCTCACGGGTCTGCTGAGAATCGATCCTAAGGCAAGGTGTTTTTCGTTCCCTGATATTTTCGAGAAAAAACACCTACGAATAGGATCACAATCTGCCACTAGCCAGCCACTTGCTATATGCATCTATCAGGTCAAGCGTACGGTTCATGAATATTAACATCAGAACTTTTGATAATGTAATGTGCAAAAAGATAATGCATATTCGTGCTTTTTGAGATTTTTGGGGCCAAATCTTGTTGCTCCACCGCAACAAAGAGCAAAAAGAAGTACCAAAGTGAGCGAAATTTATACAAAAAAATGCGCTCTATTCGAGTGTGTAAGGTACCTCGCATCTATGTGCAATGGTCAAACGTGCTGAAAAAATGATTGAAATTTCACGCAGACAAGAAGTACTTTGACGAATTCCGAGTGGAAGGTGACGAATAAGATGTAAATTGTGCACGATCTCTATCTATGAGGTTGAGAAAAATAAAAACTGATGTCCTTCAGATTGAATAAAGATCTTGAGAGGGTGAGTGGTGACTGGATTCCGAAGGTCCTCGGTACAAATGAGAAAGCAAACGTGCTCATGATGGTTAATAACCTTTTAGAGAAGCTGATTTAATTTTTCTACTTTGTTGAAATTGATTGAATGATTTGTTTTGAACGTGCTTGGCTATTTAGACTTATCTTGTGGGGCGTATGAAGCGGCTTTTTCGTAAGACTGTTACAATCACAGAGTTTTCAGATAAATGACTGATAAAAGCCTGCCAAGTAGTGAGAGGAAAGCAAAGAAAGCGATCTACGTAGGATTCGAACCTGCATCTCATGGTAGCATTTGTTCTAACCATTGAGTTACAGCATCTTTTGATCATGAAGAGTTGTTTTTTTGTGTTATGAGATGTTGCTCTTCTGCAAAGTTTGTTGAAGAAGAGAAATATAAAAAAGAGTTTGATCGGAGATTTTTCTCGAAGGCCACGAAAATCCAGGAACAATGGACATTAGGAAACTGTTTCTCAACTTTTTTCGAATTTGGAAACCAATTCAGTTCAATAAGAAAGGTTATCTTTTTCTTCGTTTTATTCCGAGTTTAAGTGCCGACTTTATTTGTTATATTTTAAACTAGACACCTAGCTACACAGACTGACCGGCGTCGATTTTTCAATTAAGCCTTTACTGGTTTTCCAGGCAACCAACAACCTCCAAAACCCGAAAAAACCTTCCGGATCTTCTAAAATGCTTCAGTTTGACAAAAAACGAGGACCTAATTCACAAATCGGTGCCTGTCAGTCTATGTAGTTTTCTTTCCTCTTTTAAACAAAAAAGAATAAACTCTCTACGATAAACCGCTATTAAAAATATTGAAACGCACTTCAGGTGTAACTCTTATATGGAGAAAACGCGGTATTAAACGCTGTATGAAATACTAGATTTTAGGACTTCTAGGAAAATGCCTGTAACTTTTTGATGCAAGGTCATACAGAGTTGTGCGAAGCCTTATTTTGATCAGAAACCTTTGCTCTACAAAGCTGTGTGTTCAGACAAATTTTAATTGCATAAGTACCCAAGAAAAAACTATTATTTGAAGACCCGATTTGAAAAATTGAGGTTTCTGACGAATCTTGTTTTATTCTTGGTATGAGCCTTCTCCGATGTAACTATAACTCTTGATAGGATCTTCGCATCAGGATCCATAACAGATCTTGACTCAAACCTAATGAAATCCTCACTATGACCTTTGTCAGGTTTCTACACAGGAGTAACAGTGAATCTGAGTAAAGTCCTGCAAACTCAATTCAGAAAATTCAAAAATCCAAACAAGAACTTGAACAAATCCTTGATAGAATCCTGAATCAAACCTGACAGGATCCTTGAGATTGATGATTCTGGAAGATCCTTCAAGGCTATCTCAAAATGGACCTGACTGAGTGGACTAACCAATAACCTGTAAAGATCTTTGCTAATTCCTTACATTTTCTTGTCAAGATCCTGATTAGGATTGACATTGTCTTGCAAAGTTTGGAAACGTATATTCATGAAAAGTTCTAAATAAGATCCTGATTGAAGCTTTGCAGGATTAGTCAATCTCATATTCTGACTAATCTTGTTATTTTCTTGCCAAGATCCTCGACTGATGTGACTATCACTCCTGATAGACTCGTGATACGAAGATTTGAGTTAGATCCTGAAAATATCTTGGCACAATCCTCTTTCATAATCTTGAGAGATGCTTGACAGAATATCGAGTAAATCCTGATAGGACCCTGTATTCTGAATTCAGAAAAATATCTGAGCAGGAACTTAAAGAAATCCTGAACAGGATTCTGTTTCACCTTGATATATTCTGGAAACAGGAATTACTAGGATTCAAAACAGGATCCTGAATAAAATGTGACCAGATCCATGAGATCGAGGATCTTGAAAGATCCTTCCAGGGTTTCTCAAGGAATGGACAGGACTGAGATTAGGGATGGTGTGACACGCATCCATCATGGAATAACATTTCCTGACATGATAACACCACAAAAAGTGAAGGTAGAGAATAATGAAAATGAAAATTCGCCTTCAATTGAATTTACGCCTGGTGATGGAATCAATACATTTGGTCATTTTAGTTCATCAGAAGAAACAAACGAAAATTTAAGCACTACTACTGATAATAATTGTTTCAAAGGTATGGATATGCATTCAGTTGATGCTAATGATGTTTGACTAGAAATGTAAATGAAATTCGAACAAATCCATATATTAAGAATATCATTCAAAATGGTTATCATATATCACGAGTTGGTTTTGGTGGTTCACTTAATGATACACAGCGGCAAATATTAAGCTCTTTAAAGAAAAACTCAGAGACAGGTATTATTAAATTATTAAAGTTTCATAATCTTGCTGAACATCCACATGTATAATGAACCAATTGGCAAATACTGTTATGAAAAAGTTGGCAGAATATATTAAAAATGGTGTTTTAATACTTAAGTTAAACAAAACCCAAGGTTCACCATACGGAAGAGCGGATAGCTATGAAGTAAAAATTCCAGGTTTGCATGCAATGAAAGAAGGTTCCTTCCTTGAAGGAATCTTTACAATTGATATTACTGTCATACATAGTCCTTACCCAGATTCAGCTCGATATATATTCGAATGGAACGGTGAAAATCAATCACTTCTCTGGGAATAAGTAATACACATGGCCCAGCAAATGTCAAACAATGGGACGATCGCACCAGACCAAGAAAATGTTTTTATTGAAGTAACAAATACCAAAACAAAAAAGTATATGATATTAGAAACGTAATAACTGGTGGAAAGAAAAATAATAATCTACATTCCACATGAACATGTGAAAAAATGAATTTCTCTTAATAACATTCTATAACATTGATTTAGTTTTTTTATATAGAAGTTCTATTTCTTGTTTAACATAAGTTAAAAAAACATTTTGTTTTTCACTTTTAATTATTCTTATTACTATGTCTAACAAGAAACAGACCGATCTGTAATCTGCCTATTATTTATCTTTCCTACAGCAACAGATACAGCTCTGCGAAAGAAGCATAAACTAAAATTTATCTCTTATAATCTTAGCATTCGGAAACAAAGATTTGTCTTCAAGTAGTTCAACTGGACTGCCAGCAACGTAAATATATTTGATACGATTAAATAACAGTTGTACTTGTTCACCAAAATCTTGTGTTTTCAATTCTAATAACAAGTCACTGTATACACGTAACTCAACAATATTTGGCATCATTACTAATACTCGTTTCAAATATTTATAATCCACTATTTTCTCTATGCGAAATATTAGGCAGTCGATATTTTCTAGTATAAATTCATTATTATTCATTAAATC